TAGTGATTCTCCTGTTTTCAGCCTCTTAAGTGCTGGGATTACAGGCACATGCCACCACGCCCAGTCTTCATCAGCATCCCAGCGTGCTCCAGGGACGGGGCCAGCATGGCATACCAGGGATCAAACCCCAGTCCCTGCATCTGCCTAAGCAGGTGCTTGAGTCTGCTGAGCTATCTTTCCGCCCCACAAAGATGGATTTCTGAGCCTGCTCCCTTGTGAGGTGTTTGGGCAGTGAGGAGCCAGGAGCCACAGAGGGCTGATCCAGGAGCATCAAATTAATTGTCAGGTAATAGAGAAACAGGATTTGGTCCTGGCTGGGAGGAGAATTGGAATTATACTGCTCTTTGTTTCCCCAAAATCTTCTTCCCCTCTGCAAACTTAGACACGAATGAGGTTGCAGGGAGGGAGATAAAACAAAGATAAAGACTTAGAAAGAGGTCAGTATAGAAGGATCCCATTGCCGGGTAGAGTTCTGTATTTTGGGCGTGGGGAGTTTACCTATTCACTGGAATCCAAGTTTTCCACATAGATCAAATAAATGTCCCTCCCGGAGTTTACAGCTCCGGCTGCAGCTGAGGAGGTCTGAGGGTCTGCGCAGCATACAGCGTCGGCTAAGCTCGGGTCTCCTGCTTTAGCCAAAAAGTTGCCTCTGTGATCCTGTCACAGTGGCCAGACCTCCAGGACAAGCAGCGCTGGAGGTCTGCTGTGCAGTCACGTCCTTTTGGTGAGACAGACCGCCTGACTGTGCTTGCAGCGAGCTCTGCGGCAGGCGTGTGACGTCTGTGGCAGGCGGGTCTGCGGCAGGCCGCCGAGGAAGAGGGGCGCTTCTTGGGGAGCTAGCTGTGGGGTGCAGTTCTTGGCTGTTTGTATGTGTGTTGTGGGGATGTGTGTACACGCTTGTGACGTGGAAACTGCAGAAGCACTGGCCAGGAAGGGGAAGAACTGCCGCTTTGCAGAGGCAGCCTGGACATGCTTGCACTAGTATAACACACCATAGCCCTTGCACACGTACAGCACACCCAGCTCTGAAGTGGGGACAAGCAGTTCAGAGGTGGGCAGATGATAAATGTAGGTTCTATCCCCATAAACAGCAAGGCTGCTAGGAGGAGTCCTCAGTGCCCTCCACACTCAGCCTCTGACAGCCCCTAGGATTTTCTAGGGGCATAGGGTGTCCCCAACAGGGCACCCAGTCCATTTTTACTGCCAACTTTCTGTCACAGCTGAAACTCGCAGGGTCAGTGATTTTTACTGCTTATATTTATACGTATTTTGAAGGTTAGCCTCAACTTAATCAACTAAAGTAGCAACAAGCAGGAGGCAGGTGGGGTGCTGAGAGGCCCCACGCACCATTCTCCTACGAGAACGACACACACTGCTTTCATAAACACTGAGATTTTCGGGCCTCATCATGATGAAACCAAGAAATTGTATCTGAAAATTGTATCTTCCTGTGCTCCCTATAAGCAGACTGATTCCAGTATACCTGGGCATTTAAAATATTCATTTTTTTTAAGAATAAAAAGTCAGAAGAAATGTAGAATACACAAAGAAGTACTCCTTAAGTACTCAATTACACAAAGAGCCACAATCCCTCTATCAGCTGCAGGAGAAGGCCTAAATTCTGGTACTCTGACTAAATAAAAAGTAAATGATGTAGAGGAGTAGAGGATGAAGAGGCCAGACAAGGGGGAAAAGTCTGGTTAGTAAGGCCACCGCGGAACAACCATGACTTCAAACTCTTGGGATGGGCCAGGTAGCTCAGTGGACTAAGTGCCTACTTAGGCAAGCTTGGGCAAGTGCAGGGACAGAGGTTTGATCCCCAGCACCACATGCTGCGCCAGCCCTGCCCACAGCTGCGCTGAGCTGGCCACAGAGTCCTGGCGTGGCGACTTGTGCCTGTAATCCAGCACTGGGGAGGCTGAAAGCAGGAGGGTCACCACGTGCCCGAGCTACATAATGAGCCCCTGCCGCACCCAAGTACATTAAAGAAAAGAAAGAAACTCTCTTTTGATCTTCCTGATGAGCAGTGGGAATGAGGTAAAGTAAAAGGAGAAGGAAGAGGAAAGCTATAATATGTATTATGAAGAAGTAGACATAAATTATTAGATACATAACTCTAATGTTAATACAAACCAAATAAAAAAGCACATATATAATATTTTACTGCAGCTTCAACTCAGGAACCTTTGTTTCTTGTTTCTTGGTTAGAAAAGAAAAATGAAATACAAGAGTAAAAGGACCTTAGCTGAGCATTTGAAAACTGTACCCCAGAACCTCATCTTACTGATGAGCAATGGAAAAGAGGTAAATAGCTCAGTGGATTAAAGCGCCTGGGGGTTCAATCCCCAGGGCCTGCTATGCTGGGCCCACCCCCAGGGCAACTGAGATTGGGCATGGTGGCATGTGCCTGTAATCCCAGCTCTTGGGAGGGTGTAAACAGGTGGATCACTGTGAGTCTGACCCACTAGTGAGACCCTGAACACCCTGCAGACCCTTACTATACCTCAAAACCTCAGTGGCCAAGCAGGCAGCCTGTGAAGAAGCCAGTTGTGGCCTCAATACCCACCATGGGGTTATCCCTCCTCGAGGCTTCTGAGT